ATTGTTATTATTATTAAAAGTTATTATCATTATTACTTTTCTACTTTTTCATCCTCTTTTGCCGTTAAGCGTTGAGGGGAAATGCAGTTTTCTGAGGTAGGCCAGCTCCGCAACTCTTTCAATTAGGATATTGTGATTTCTCAGGGTTTCCTTAACGCTCTCAATCCACCTTTTGCGTTGCATTCCTCTTCCGTTATAGCCTGAGTAATTGGTGTTATAGGCCCTCGATGCTGGCTAGCTAGGTGACATACGTAACAGATGGCCAAATCGTTTTATTCTCTGTCTTTCTAAAAATGAAGGCAGGACTCAGTGCGAATAATCTGCTCTTACTTCTTCATTTCTCTGCTTGTCTCGTCTTGGGATATGAAGGGATATATGTGGGATAGAGCTATGCAATTCTAAGGTAGCGTATAGGGAAAAGAGGCTTACTAAAGTTGATCGTCAGTCAAAGACAATGGACACACGGCAGCTGGAAACAACAGGGGGCCAGCTCTATGAGGTCATAATTCTACCTCCGAGAGAGGGTTGTTTCTGCTTCTGACCGCCTGGAACCCCAGACAAACGCCTCATTGCCCTATCTGTGCAGACTAGTGGCACCATGCTGTCTTGCCCCTCGACATATGCTGACTATCACGGTTCCTAACGGTCTCACCACAGTCTAACAGCTACCTTCCTGGTCAGTGTAGCGCGATTTGAAGTCACAGAGCTAGTTGAAGAGACAGAAGGCGGGGTCGTTTATTGGATAAGCTTCGAATTATAATGGACAGCTCCAACATAAGACAATCCTTTCCCCAGACAACAATGAGTTTTGAAGAAGTACTGACCACCATCACTAGACAGGCCTCGACTTTTCAACCACATTCATAATCATCGTCCATTGGATCAGCGTTTACGCATCCACCAGCAGTGGATATTTGACTTGAAGCAAATTCCCATCTTCCTACACACGGCATAGGCAGCTGTGCAGGTTTCCAAAAATGCCACAGAAGTCATTTATCTCCTCTCAGGAATGTTAAGCACATCGCTGCTTAAACAAAGATAGAAACTGCTTTGAATTTTTTCGTTCCTAAAGACTTTTCCAAAGGTTTCAGTGACAGGGTCACAATGCCCAGCATGACAGATTTGTCCCAAGTGCCTTCAATGCTAAATATGACGTATTATATTATGCCATATCACAAAACTGCGTTATAATTATTTTTCGAAAAATTTCACCAGATCTCTTCTATTTTCATCATTTGACATCCATTTGAAAATATAAGACATTTCTATCCATGGAATCAATACTTCGACACTAGAGCGCTAGATGGAGAACTTAAAAAGATAGGAGGCGTGAAAAGACAACAACGAAAATACAATACTTTTTGGGAGAGTGTCTAAGCAGAAAAATGAGTTGCAAATTATCATCATCATCGCCTTTAGTTTTATTAGCGTTTTACAGCACTTGCAGCACAATAAGGTCATATAAGTGCCGACGATTAGAGGGGTTACAAGAGAGTAACAAATACAAAAAAGAAGGGGCAGAGATTAGAATGATGGATGTTTGATAGGAATGAAGCAGCAGCATACCACATCAGAGCACCCTTCAAACACCAGCTCGTCAACATTTGTTTTAAGTTTGCCTCTTGAAACCCCAAGAATATGAACAGCCAGGTGTTCTACTGGTTCCTTGAGGAAATCCTACTATAATAATATGTGCTATACGTATTTTATTCGCAGAAATCAGTTGTACTGTGAGATGAGGCGAAAC